ATGTGGATTCTACGCGGTTTAGGGTTTAGGGTTTGGGGTTTAGGGGTAACATAGAGGTGATATAATTATATAAGTTATATAGGGATAATGGAAAAGAAAATGCAAATAAGGTTATATTGGGGTCATATGGGGATACTGGAAACGAAAATGGAAACTACTATCACGGGTTATATAGGTTTCAGGACTCTTGTGTTCGGGTTTTTAGCTTATGGCTTGGTGTTCAAATGGGTCTGCTTGGAGGTCATGGTAAAAAAGAAAAATTATGTAAATAGGATACCCCCAAATGTAACCACATGCCCGGCACACGTAACTCTATCTCCAAGCGTGCCAACTATACGCAGAACCCGGCACCATCTTACAGGCAATTGTTGCTATGAACCGCCGCATAAAACCATAAACCCTAAACCCTACACCCTAAGCGCTAGAATTCTCAGCCCTCCGTGAACTTGGCTGCGAATTCGATAACACAACTCGTGAAAACTGATCCGACTCATAATCCGCCTGTCCAGCCTGATGCAGATTGCCCCCCAGTTCTACACCCTAAACCTTAAACTACCAAACTGGGCAAGCCTGTATTGGATGCAAACTTGAAGACGCCAAGGATGTACTCAATAGGCGTCTGCACCTTGCGCGGCAAGAAACAATCTAATTGACACAGAGGTCTGTACACCAGGAAGGCATATTCTCGTGTTACTAGTGTTATCTACACCAGAAAGTAAAAGGGACTATAGAAGCTCATATGAGCCATAGTCTAAACTCCTAGTATCCCCCCTCATGACCCTCAGTCTGCACAAGTTTGCCCAAAAAAAAAAAATGCACATGGGATGTATAGGTGTGGTGCCTTACCTCAACCCTAAACCCATGGGTATCCAAGCACGAATTTCATGTGGAGGCAGCCCTGAAATCTGTAACATCCTGGAAACTTTTCAGGAAAAGGTTTAGGGTTTCTCTCATCTTCATATACTGCTAAACCCTAAACGCTAAACCCTAAGATTTCTCAAAGGCACCCCCAGTTGGAGAGGGGAAGCTGAACAGGGGTCCAGATCGTCCATGAGTTCTGTCACTGTTGGGGCTACAAAAACATGTTTACGAAATCCTAAACCCTAACCCCTACACCTAAAACCCCAAGCCCAAAACCCTAAACCCCAAACCCCAGACCCCAAACCCCCAACCCTAAACCCCAAACCCTAACCCCCAAACCCAAAACCCTAAACCCTGCCTGCCTGACAGTTTTTTGCTGTATACACTCACAGTCACCGTTGATCTTATCAACTGAACACCAACCCTAGCCCCAGGGTCACACCCTGGCAACCCAGTCAACCCAACAGCCTGCATCCATCACGCCTCCCCGACAGGGTTTCTACTGTTGATCTTGAAACTCGTAGACTGGCTAGTTCCCAAGGTACAAGGTGCTCAAGGTCATGCGGGACTTGAAGTATAGACCATAAGATCACTGGAAAACTGGAAAAGAGCTTTCGGCGGGTCCTCTACCACAAAATGCTTGAACTTGACGCCGAACTTGCCGGTCCGGCTTCCCCAGGTGCTTTGAGATCAATGGTTGAGAACGTTGTATACTGTAGCACTAAGCCCTAAACCCTAGGGGCCTGTTCACGTCACATAAGGTTACGGGGCATGATATATCATCATGCTGTGGTTGAATCTTGCATATGATTGAGTCCTCTGCGTGACGGCCTCTTTCAAGCCCATATATGAGCCCAGCATCTAAACTCCTGGTATTCCCCCCTTAATAGCCCCCTTAATACTCCCCTATATAATCCCCTTTAAGGAGTTCAGACCCTAAACCCTAGATAATCCTCATAGCTCGTATAAGCCCAGTGTCCATTAAACTTATCCATTTCTTTCCACTCCATCATTGCCTGATAAGCGGATAGTATTCCTAATCTAATTGCTGGGGTCTTCTACTTAGGGTTTAGGGTTTATCCCAAAACCTTGAAAGGTCACCGGCGGGTCCTGTAACATGACTTTAGGGGTTTAGGGTTTGGCAGAAATTTGCAAAACATTGGCAAAAGATGCTCATGAATTTCCAGGCGTCTATATCAACTCCTTCAACCTGAACGCCGACCTCAGGCACTACACCCTACACGCAAGGGTTCAGGGTTTAGGGCCTTATAATGCCCCCATACCGGAAACCCTAAGCCCTAAACCCCTTATCATACATCCCCCGACATACCCGCATCTACAGCCCTTTTTAGGGACCCACGTGTGATCCTTCTTGAAGGCCTCCGGGGGAAGGCAAAAGCGATTGACCCGGAAGTCCAGGAAGGGCGTGGGAAACTTGAACGCACCCTCCTTCGTGACACACTCCTGCAGCATGTAGGGCTTTGCGTTTAGGTTGAGAAACTCGAACTTCCCTCAACCCTAAACCCTAAACCTTAAGGATATATGCGAGGGTATGATCATGCGCCAGCCTTTGGGCGCACTCCTCTAATATTCTGGGTTTAGGGCTTAAGGTTTTGTGTTAAGAGGCTTGAGGTTTAAGGTTTAGGGCTTAAGGTTTGGGTTTGGGGCTAAGGTTTAAAGCTTAGCGATTTGCGTGACACACTCCTCTTTAGGATCCCTTTTAACAGGTTATGTATATAGCATGTATCTTTGGACATGCATGGGGATACGCCAATCCTGCACTGGTTTAGGCTTTTGGATGTAAGGCCATTCTTGGGATGTGGGTTTGTAGTATTGATGGGACCTTTTCTCCCAGGCTTGGGGTAGTTTAGGGCTTAAGGTTGAGGGCTAAGTGTGTATGTGTGGTGTTTAGGGCATTAAGGCTTGAAAATTGAGCCTTACGGCTTGAGATGCCATAGTCTACATTCCTAATTTCCCTTGAATGACCCTTGTGATACTCCCCTATAGAATCCCCTACATAATTCCCTTTGAGGTTTTGGCTTTAAACAGTACCCACACCTGTCTGGCACTGTCCTCAACATTGGGTTGGGTATGCCCCACCAACTCCAACATGAGGGGTTTGGGGCTCAGTGTTTCGGCCCTGGGCCTTGGCATCTAGGGCTTGCCACGTTGCGTCTAGGGCTTTAGGGTTTAGGGCTCTATGGAGGGGACGCATGCGGAGGGGTTCTCAAGATTATGCTCCGTTTCTGGGGTTAACCCTAAACCCTAAACCCTAAACCGGTTTAGGGTGTTGAGGTTCAGGGTTTAGGGTTTTTTTGGTGGATCTCGCGACCGAGGCGAGACTAGAATTTTTACAACATGTCAAGCCCCAACTTACTTATTCTTCATAGGGAATATGTGAATGCATCGTATATAGGACTTATGCTCCCCAACATACTATACTAGTTTCCATTTCATTTCATCCGTTATAAACCCTACATACTCCATATATGACCCCTATATTCCTTACGAAGAACCAGTAAGCCAAGCAAGTTGGTTCTGGCTCGCAAAGGTCTCAGTTGCAGGAGTCCTCGCTTAAGGGCTTTAATCGCCCGAAGCCCGCTTTGATTGGGGCTTGAAGTTCAGGGTTTAAGGTTCCGGGTTTCGGATCTGGGGCTAAACCCTAAACTCCAGACAGTGTGTGTTGAATATATAACACAGGGCATGGCCTTCCCGAGGCAGATTCCCAAGCCCCCAGTCTTTCTTCAACAACACCAGCTGCCTGAAATGCCCCACAACACTTATAATAGTGATATACTAGGAATACTAGGAATATAAGAGGACCCGAGTATAGGTACTATTAGTGTATCCTTTGTAGTCACGATAACTGGGTAGGGGTCCACCTAACCTGGACCCTTAACCCTCAAGTAGAAGTAGCAGAAATAGGAAAATTACGGATTCCTTTCGGGGCTCCCATGATTATGACTATGACATACGCGAACATAAGGGGGACCCCATTATTGGAAACTCGCAGACGTCCTCGCTAGCTGCATCTTGGTACAATTTCTGATAGTTTATCAAGGAAATTGTCCATCTATACTCCTGAAGGGGGGCTGCGATAATCCTACATGTTCACACCCATCCATCTTAAAAACAAACCTGCGTGTGGGACTTCTTGCTCCTGCTTTCTGGAAATCATTGTCGTCATCATCATGATCCCCGTCATAGCCCTAAACCCTAAACCCTAAATCCTAAACCCTAAACTCTAAAACCCTAAACCCTGAACCCTGAACCCTAAACCGTTTCATTGCCAAGGACCGAGTTAAGGATCATCATGGTCATCACCACACAGCTAGTCACAGGTCATGAATGAAATACAAGTGCCATTGTTCGGGATAATAATAGGGTTTAGGGTTTAGGGTTTAGGGTTAGTGTTGAAAATGCTCC